TTATCATCGCACCTCATCAATAATTTTTTTTTAAAGAGGATCATTTCTCCAAAATTGCAGCACTTATTAATTGACATGGGACAAAATTATCTTATTGGAAACATACATTTATGAATGGGAGATATATTATTGTCCCTAAAGATCTTGAGCTTACAATCAAATAAATTTCTTGCATCAAGTCCCTCGGAGCTATCTAAGGTAAAAGGACTTCAAATCTTGGATCTTGCAAATAATTCTCTTTTAGGGTCGATCCCAAATTTTTTTAATTTCTCAATTCAATAACTATAAAATATGAGACGTATCTATAATTCCCAAGATGATCTTATCTTTCTAGATAAAGGGTTTGATCTTTCAATCTGCATGAATCTAATTACCCTTGTAGGCATAGCTTTGCCCGATTCAGTAATAATTGACAGAAAAGGAATAGACCGTTACAAACGTACTCTCCATATGATTGTTACAAAAATTGTAACAATCTTACTAGAGAAGTTCCTGTTAAATTAACGAGCCTTGTTGGATTGATAAATTTGAATTTATCCAAAAACCACTTCACGGGACAGATCCCAATCAATATTGGTGTTATGCAATGCATAGAAAGTTTGGATCCCTCAAGTAATAATTTCTCCAGAGAAATTCCAAAGAATACTGTGAAGCTAAGTGAATTGAACTATCTTAATTTATCATACAATCAATTGTCAAGTAAAATCCTGATAGGGATCCAAATCGATACCTTTAATGAATCGCGTTACTATAGAAATCTTGAACTATGCGGAAAGCTACTTCTTAAGGAGGGTTATAAATAAACCAATGTACTCAATGAATAACTCGAATTAGGCTCAAATAAGACCTGATTATATTCGTTCAAATTAGTAAATAAACAAGCTTGAACATTTTTTAAAAACTCGAACCTTAAATGAACTAAACATGAACATAGTTGAACTTGTTCATTTATGCTCACAAACAAGCACGTTTGTTGTTCATCAAGTAACATTTTAAATACTCGATATTAAGCTCAAATATAGCTCGTATCATATATGATATATTATTTAAATAAATTTGATTAGCTTAAATTTATTTAATTATAGAGATAATAGTAAAATATTATTATATCTATAACATTTTTTAATTAATTATTGATTACATAATTATTTTATTATTAATTTTTATTTGCGATAGTGTTACTGTAGTTCCAGTGACGTACAAAATTAGAGAGAGTAATCTTAGATGGTTTGGTCAGATTAAACATCAACCATATGATGATCCTGTTGGGAGAGTAGATGTTTTAGATTTGACTTATGTTATAAAAGGTAAAGGTAGACTTTGGAAGACTTGGGCTTATTGTATAAACAATGATCGTAATTTATTAAAACTAAATGAAAATATGACACAGAATTAAATGAAAATAAATTAAATGAAAATATGACACTCAATAGGACGTGATGGAGAAAAATGATTCAAATAGACGGCCCACTTAATGGGATAAAGGTTTATTCTTGTTGTTGTTATATTAATTATTAACTATTTGTAAATTAATATAGAATTCTGAAAGTGAACATCACTTCTTATTCTTTCTCTTTTATTATGTTTTATCTGACCATATTTGATTTTTCTCAATCATATCTACAATTGATGCATGGTTTCAGATTATGAGTTACTTTGTAATACTGATTCATTTAAATTTATTTGCTCTTGTTTTAATATTTTTTTCTCTATCTCAGAATTTATTCTAGTGAAAATATATATATTATAAACACTAGATGACTGCATGCGGGCTAGTTCATTTTTTTTATATGATTTATTCAATTGATTATTTAATCAAATTTGTAAAATTAATTATTATACTTTTTTATATAAAATTTAGATACTCGTTTGAATTATTAGCTCATTTAAATACTCGTTCACTTGTCATAGTAACAAATCAAGTACAAATTAAGTTCAAACATAAAAAAAAATTTAAACTAGCCAAGTATGAACAATATTTGAAAGCTCGACACAAACTCAAATAGAATATGAATAATTTATAATTGTATCAAGCCAAGAGCATACTATGATATACTTGGCTCAACTCGCTCAATCACAGCCATATTCTTAAGACTTATGAAGATAACGAACATTAAATTTTCAGAAGAGAAAGCAATTCTGATGTTGATAATATTGGTTTATTCCTTAGTATGGGTCTTGATTTTAATATTAGAGACCGTATTGTTAAGAGGCCTTGGGCAATCGCTACTTTTTGTTGTATAATAATACGACAAACTATGTATGTATCTATGATCATGAGAGCGAATCAATGCTTTAAATGAAAAGCCATAGATGTAAAAGACAATAAAATAAATAACGTGATTTAAATTCTGCCATAAACGATGTTTGTGATTCCCATAATATAGATATTAATGGCACAAAATTGCTTGACTAATTTTTATCTAGCCCCCATGCCTTTCCATACATGCATCGTAATATTGCTAAGCAATAATTTTTTCTAAACTAATTGTCTCACAACCAGAGATATTATTCTGCGATTCATAATGTGCATTAAATCATATTGATTGTTCCCGTGGAAAATGACTTATAAGAATTTTTTTCTATACAAGATCTTAAACCTAAGATCTCTTAATTGAAAGCATATGCTCTCATCCAACTGGTCAAGATGACTCGCATAAGTAAATATAATTATATTCACCTTTCGTTTTTTTTAAATATGACATTTATAATTAGCAATTTGTTGAACTATTCAGCACAAAAATCATTTATTTCCAAAGCAACCACTTAAGCCAGTTATTAATTAATGCATGGATAAGAAATTTCATTGCATCCTAGTTTGTAATTAGTGCAAGTAAAATGGCATCTAATATTTTCACAAACCAATAAAAGAGAAGTTGATTATGATGCTAATTAATCAAACTAATATCATTTCTCAATAAAACTATTAACCTGTAATTTGCAAAATCTTCTATTCAAATTTGATATAAATAACAGTAACGTCTTCATCCTTTTTCCAAGATCAAATGATGGGAAGATTAACCGAAGATACAGGATATTCAACAAGAAAGCTTGTAGCTTCTTGCAAAACGTCAAACTGTTTTGATGACATATAAAATTTAGGAAAATTTACATGCATACAGCATAATTCTCATGTATTTACATATCTAACACGTAAACTTTCCTATTTACATTTATAACACTTGGATGTCATAACATATGCATGAACAGACTTATTTTCCATTTAAAAGGTAGGGAAATTTACATACCTATTACCCGATTCATATGGAATTACATATCTCGCACCTAAACTTTCATATTTACATACATAGCACTTGGTGTTATAAACCTATAGATGAAAAGATGTATTTCATTTATAACAAGTGATAATAGTGTTGATTTTTATATGATATTCAATATTTTAGTGCTATGATGTAAATATGAAAGTTTATGTGTGAGAAATCTAAAGAGATAAGAATATGTGCTATGTGTATGTAAATGCCCCTAAAAAGTAATAATGGTATTTTCAATGTGGTGTTAAAAATTCTAGTACTATATATGCAAATACGAAAATTTAGTTATTAGATATGCAAATACAGAAGAATAATATGGGGCATATGCAAAAACAACAAAAACAACAACAACAACAACAAACCTTTATCCCATGTTCTATGTGATATTTTCAATTGCATCCCATGGAGAGTCATATTTTCATTTAATTCTAATAAATTAAGATCATTTTTTATACAATATGCCCCGGTCTTTCTAGGTCTTCCTCTACCTTTCTTAACATAAGTAGAACCAAAAGCATCTACTCTCCTAACTGGATCATCAAATGGCCAACATTTAAGCTTCGTTTGGGGACCGCTTATTTTGCGCGGTGCAGCCCCAGACCGCAACTTTTTTTTTTCGTTCGGATTTCGCGGCAAAGGTAGGCGAGCACTAAAAGAGACAGAACGCACGCTCTTTAATTCCTCTGCTACCCTAGCACTCTCCCTCGACTCTTCTGTCGTAGATGCGAAGCCGACCGGCTCCCTCAACTCTTCTGCCCTAGACGCGAAGCTGACCAACCCCTTCCTTCCTCCTCCTCCCTCGACGCTTCTGCCCGTGCCGACCGCAGCCTCCCAAGCGTCAACCAGGTCTTTCCTCGCTCTCCCTAGACTCCTCCGCCCCCAGGTAATCCTTCCTTTCGTTTCTTCTACATATCAGACGTTTCTGTTCGAACAGAAAGGAAGGAATCACCTGGCTTTGTTTGGGTAGCAAGTAAATGCATTTTCATAGATATTCCTGGCAATCTGATGTTCTTATTTTGAACCCTGCTGTTTGGATTTTCATCACAAAACTTGGCACTATTTTTGGATGAACACAGAGAGGAAGGAAGTGAGGGAGGATGAGCTTATGGTAAACATTTGAAGATGGTACAATTTCTATTCTGCATTTCTAAACTGGAAGGAATTGGGTGTTAATCTGGAAATCTACACCTTCTGCATTTCACGTGTGTGCAGGTATTGGGTGTTGTAGTTTGTGTTTAAATTGTTATCACTGCTATGTGTCTCAATAGTTTTCCAATCCTTCATGTCGAGAGATATCTTAACTCTTATGTGTTTACATGGCCAACATTTTAAATCCTCTAGTATTTACTAAACAGTGGCAGAATGATCATTTTCCAGAAACAGCTGTCTCACAGTTGTTTTCTCATAGCTATAACAAACAGGCAGCCAGCTTCCCAGCTACAGCTTCCTGGAGCAGCGCAGCTGCAGCTGCCCCAAACAGACCTTTAATGTGACCAAACCATCTAAGACAGCCATCTCTAATTTGGTACATATGCAAATGTCCTAAAATTCAAAACAATCAGTTTGTGACCTTTTTCAACCCAATCTTAGCAAAAATTACATGATTAACTAAAGCATGCTTACTCGAGCTGTAAAAATTATAAATATCTAGGTTGTGAATGCAAAATATATTAAGATATAACTGAATGAATATGAAAATTTATTTATTTTTACAAGGAAAAAAATAATATAATATCTACATTTATCTAGATTCCAAGTGAAGCAAGTTGATTTTCCAGCTAAAGCTAAGAGAGTTGAAAATATCAATCAAAGCATTTATTTTTGTACTTCTGTAACCGGGAAGAAGAAGAAATCATAGAAGACTGCATGTTTGCTATTTCAACAATGGTTTCCAGCGCTATAGCACAAAGATTTTCATGAGTTATATTATTAGCAGGGCAACAAAATATTGCAAAGAATAAGAGGAAAAGAGGACCAACCTGTCTCGAATGAAAATTGGGCAGCACGAAGTTTTGGAGAAACCAAAGCTCCAAAGACTGATAGTGATTTATATCTCTTCTTCTGTAAATGTAAGTCAAACATTTTTCACCCAAAAAAAGGAAGATAAGCATACATACCACTCAATTCCTACGTATTTGCATATCTAACACTGAAGTATAAATTTTTACATACAGAACACGTTATCTATGCATGAAAAGGCGTATTTCACTTTTGAAAACTTGAAATGTAGCTATTTTTTTATGTGATACAAAAGATTTGAGTGGTATAAATGTAAAGTTCAAGGTTTAGGTGTTAGACTGTAAATAAATATGAATTGATGTGCATTTAAATCTTCCAAAAAGACCCAACTTTTCTGATACTTTTGAATAATATAAACTGCCACTATAAGCTAGAGGGAAAGAGGGAAAGAGAGAGCACTTACATTCACAACATCAACTGTGGTAGATTCAGAAGTAGTCGGAGAGTTTTCTGAGAGAGAGAGAGCTCTTATATTTTCATTAACTTCAGCAGATTCAGAGGGAACTTCTAAAAGGAAAAATATCAGCTTTGAAAGGATCAAATACAAATTGATTAAACTTGGGATCTGATTGGGATAGTTTTCAACCTACTTTGAGTTTCAGACCAATTTTTTTTTATGAGAAACTACTTTTGCAACAAGATCTGATAAAGTGTGGTAAATGTAAGAAAAAGCTACGATCCGATTTTTTGAAAAATATAAACATTTATAATTCACATCGCAATTTTTTATGAAGTTGTTTTCCTCACAACAACTTTACAACAACATTTACAAAGAGCTGCAGCTGTCTCAAACGAATACTTAAATAAGTATAAAAGGAGTAGGTTAAAAATATGTTATACCAGAAGCATGTTTTGGACCCCGAAACGTTAGCTGTGAGCTGATACAATCCTCAAAAAGCGACCTTCCATCAACAAACTCCTTGGAAGAAGATCTTCTCTCTTCTAAACATGCCCATTTTGATAGTCTAAACTGTGGTTGCGCAACTAAAGCATGAACATATTATGCTATTTCAGTAGTGAGTACAAGTATCTGTTTAATATGTTTAAATCATAGTTTTCTAAGGATTAGTATGGTTAAAATGTTTGAAATTTAAGATTAATCTAGCAGTTATTCATCCTAATATACAGAATGTCATCCATATCAAGCCACAGGCAAACAGTTTGAGATTTTTTTCTATGTTTCCAAATCACTAGTTTTTGGAGATTTACATACATACCACTCACAAATTTACATACCTAACTCTGGAACTTCATTTTTTACATATATGCCACATTTCCTACGCATAAAAAGCTGTATTTCACTTTTTAAAAGTTAAAGTAGTGATATTTTTATGTTATATGAAAGATATATGTGGTAAAAAATAAAGCATTAGATGCCTAGAATTAGGAGGTATGTAAGTAAATGCCCCATTTACCTGATGGAGATTCTTCGACTGGTTCATTAAAAATTACTTTGGTTACAGCAGATTGTACTTTGAGGTCAAGCAGTGTGCTTGAAATGCGTGATGGACCCATAGAGTGACGAGCACCTGCGAGTTCTAGCCATCCCTAACATCCAAAAAATTATGAATGGGCTATCTTTTATGATACATAATGTAAAAAAAATGATTTATATCCTTGAAAAAAAATATAATAAAATCTACATCAGCAAGAGCTCCATACATCAATACGCTCATTTTTCTTCAGGGAACATAATTTCATGAAAATAACCATATGTTTCACTCGCCCAAGCTGGAGATACGGATGATAATGAAGATACTGCCCAATTCCTATGTATTACATATAATATGAAATACACATTTTCAAGCATAGGAAAGCTGTCATCTACGTAAAAATTGAAGTATAGGTGTTAGATACGTAGATACATAGGAATTAAGTGGTATGCATGTAAATCTTCTTAAAGAATATCAAGAAGGTTATTTGAGGAACATCGTGAGAAGCATATGATGAGCTTTGCACCTCTATTTCATCATTTGCATGAAAGTTTTTGAGGACGATGAAGATTTCTTAGTTATTAATAATGTGCCTGTTATAACGAATGATTTGTGGATGATGAAAAGAGGATTTAGCTGACATAGTTATAAGTGAAAAATCTCATTGCCGATTTCTTGATGGAGCATAGAACAAAAATGACAAAAGTTTACAAGAAAGTAATTAAGTTAATATAAAATTTTATATAATAAAAACTATAAATATCAATACACTCATTATTTTAAATAAAATTTTATTGATTAGGGAAGAGGAAATAGATGAGACTGAAGATGATGAGGAAGATTGATACGTTTTTGATACAACTGAGGATGTGAAAGTTAAAAAGCAATCAACTAGAATATTGATCATAATGAAGAACCTATGTAATGGATGGCTAACTAGTCTATTTAAGAATTTATTTGCTTGCTTATTTTTGACTCTCTACCTATGTTTGCTAATCTTAGGCTTTGTTTTTAACTGAAAACTTACATGACATTTTATGGTATTATCACTTTTAGATTACTCTCAAATGCTAGCTTGGGATAAATTAAGCTCAATATTTTATGATATTACTTATTATTGAGTCCTAAAAAGGATTATACATAAATGTTTTCTTTTTAAAATTTTTAATTAATTTAATGTTTTAATTTTGAGGCTTTTGCCTCGAAATGCCTTAAGACTTGCACATCACACCATGAAATAAAAATACTTCATTAACCTATTGCATAAGTTTAAACATTATTTTCGTTCTTTTTTATTCTCCATCTCTGACTTTATACAAGGGCTTTTTTAAGCATTGATGATAATTAAAAATTAGATGGCCTTTAAAAGAAGATACTCCTTGGGTGCGGCCTCCTACTATGAATCAAAAGACTATGAGACAGCATCAGTATCCAAGAAACCTTTTGTAACAAGTCAATTGCTCAATTCAAACATGAACCTTTTACGTGAGAAATCATCATCAGTATCATTGCTCAAAAAGAATTGAATGCATTTAACATCCAAAACACAGGTCAACAATCTTAGAGCATGAATTATTGGGCCTCTGTTTATATGTAGGGGATGCCGCCTTTTCTCAAACTTTTCATCCATATTTAAAAGATATACAGTTGGAATTTTTATTGGGTGGGCATCACAAGTAATTAGTGTTGAAGCTTTGACTAGAGCATCTTAAATTCTTACTGATAGAATGGGGAGTATATAAACCCATTTACAAGAACACACACAAGAAAAGTAAAAAAAACAGAATGAAACAAAAAAAAAAGAAGAAATAAAACTGGATACTGAGAAATTAGAAAAGAAATAATGCAGGAATCAAAGATCAATACAAATATATGCAATAATTCTAATACTCCCCTTCAAGTTGAGCATAGATGTCAATCACGTTCAACTAGGATTTGAAGTTATTGAACAGTTGTCTAGGAAGATTCTTGGTGAGGATATATGTTAGTTGATCACTGAATAGCACAAAAAGAATGTAAATTCTCCCGAACTCGAGCCTTTCCTTAAGGAAGTGTTGGTCAATCTTCACATGTTTGGTACGATCATGCCAAACCGAGTTGTGAGTGATGTTGATGGCAGCCTTATTGTCACAAAATAATTGCAGAGGGACTGAGGTCGGCATACGTAGTTCGCGGAGCATGAAGTGTAACCAGAGAGTTTCACAGATCCACAAGGACATTGACCAAAATTGAGCTTCAACGCTGCTCCGGACAACTGCAAACTTTTTTTTTGTTTTTCTATGTGACAATATTTCCCCAACACAAAAGAGCAGTGTCCGAAGGAAGATCGCCCAACATGGACAAACCCAGCCCAATCATTGTCTATGTAAACAGCAATAAACTGAGAGGTGCAGCGCGAAAAAAACAAATTTGAGCGTAGTGCGCCTTTTAAATAGTGGAGAATTTGGTGGACAGCTTGGAGATGGTGCTCACAGGAGTCATGCATGAATTAACTTACGATATCAACTGTGTTGCATAGATCAGAGCATGTATGGGCAAAGTAGATGAATTTCCCCACAAGGCATTTGTAGTGAGTCTTGTTTATAGGAACGACATTGGGTAAATCAAATAATTTTTTTATTGGGATTCATCAGGGCAGCCACCTATTTAAATAGAAGAAGACTGTTCTCTTTTAACAGGTCAAGTACATATCTGCACTGAGACAAGCAAATCCACCGAGATGACCGAGCAACTTCCATGCCCAAGATGTACCGGAGAGATCACAAGTCCTTCATTTCAAATAATGTAGCTAAAAAGTCTTTCAAAGACTCTAATGTTGGTAGATCATTACCTGTAAGCACAGTATCATCAACATGAATGATAAGAACAGTACTTTGATAATTGAAGGAATGTAAGAAGAAGGGAGTGTGATCGATTGAGTCTGAGTAAATTCATGGCCCACTACAAACTTTGTGAATTTGTCAAACCAAGCCCGAGAGAATTGCTTTAGTCCATAGAGGGACTTTCACAGCTGGCACACATGCCTTTGGGAGGATGTATATTCAAAGCTTGGATGAATGGACATGTACACCTCCTAAGTGAGAACTATGTTCAAGAACGCATTCTTTACATCGAGTTGAAATATGGGTCAACCCAGATTCACCGCAAGAGACAAAAGGACTCGAATGGTGTTTAACTTAACCATCAAAGCAAACATCTCCTCATAGTCAACTCTGTAGGCCTGTGAATACCCTTTGGCGACCAACCGTGCTTTGTTGCGTTCAAAGGAACCATCAGAGTTGAACTTGATGCTAAAAATCTATTGGCATCTTATTGCTTTCTTTCCCTGAGGAATAACTACGACGTCCCACATATGGTTCCGCCAAAGGGCATTCATTTCCCCTATTACTGCAGCTTTCCAGGCAGGATCTGCTAGTTCAGCTTCAATGGTAGTTGGGATTTGATGATCCGTCAGGGCAGTAGCAAATGCCCTGTATGTCGGCGATAAACTGCAAAAAAAGAGATATTTTGCCAAGAAATATAGGGAGCATGCCTGGTTGTCGCCCGAGTTGGATGCAAGGTTCTGCAATGAGGTAGCAAGCTCCAGAGTAAGTGCATCAAAACGAGTGTGTCTAGTGTAGACACAAAGAATGGGAGGAAGTGACGGTGGAACAACAGGAACTAGGTCTTCTTCGTTGGCAGAAATAATGGGGGGAACATTCATGGGAGTAGGATAAGAAACTTTGTCCAAAAACTATAGCTTTCTCTCACTTGAGGCCAAGTTAGAAAAATAAGAAACACTTTTGAAAAAAAATATCAACACACGTAGATTCTATTTGTGATAAGATCCATGCACCGATACCCTTTTGGAGTGGCGAAGTACCATAGAAAGACACATTTTATGAATCTGAGATCAAGTTTACTACAAGTGGAGGCAATGCTCCAAACTAAGGTCGTGCGCCCAAATATTTTGGGATATAACGTAGTGAAGACCCGATGGCCAGAAAGCACGACAATAAGACGATTAAAAGGGTTCGGAAGTTATGAATTTTAGAGGGGACTCTATTTATGAGGTAGGTGGCAAAATGGCATCATTCCAAAAACGTTCTGGGGCAATATATCGAAACATAATGGAGCAAGCAACATTCTCAGCTACCCATTTTGTTAAGTATCAGTACACAAGTTATGGTGGAGGCTGTCCTTACTTACCAATAATTCACCTAAAATAAACTTAAAAAATTCATGACCATTGTCGTCTAAAGGACTTGAATTAGTGTTTTGAATTGAGTCAAAATGAAGGTGTAGAAGTTCTAGAATGTGACAGTAACTTTCAATTTATCTTTTAAAATGTAATCTCACGTCATTCGAGTGTGGTCATCAATCAAGGTAAGAAACTACCGTTTATTGGTGTGACTGTAAGTGCGAGAGAGTCCCCAAACGTCAATCTGAACGGGTGAAAAAAAAGCAAAATGAGTGCAAGTGTTAGATGGGTGACAAATTCGATAATGTTTGGTTAACTGACATGCTCACAACTGAAATTAGAAATATTTTTTATTAGTAAACATCAATGAATAAAAATATTTTAGATACTGGAAACTAGAATGACTTAAACGATAATGCAACAACATAATGGGGCATTGAGTAACTTGAGATAAACTACAACTACTTAGTGGTGGGTCCTCATTCTCCATGTTTTTCTTTTGGAAATAGTAGTGTCTGGCTCCTGTTTAGCAATTCTAATCATCCTCTCCGAACCACGATCCTGAAATACACAAACATCATGAGAGAAATGAACAACGCAATCAATGTCATCCATCAACTTACTAATAGCTAAAAGGTTACACTTCAACAGTGGAGCATATAACACAGATTCTAGGGTTAGATCGGTCGTTAGAACAACCAACTATTTACCTACAATGGAACTGGAAGAGTTGTCCGCAATTATGACCATATCTTTCCCAGAGAATGGGTAGTATGTCGAGAAAGCTTCTGAGCATCCAGTCATGTGGTTCATGACACCTGAATCAATGATCTACGGACTAGAGGTTAAAGATGTGAGTGTCACAGGAACAGTACCTTGACAGATATTGGAGAGGTTCACGGACCAGCAGAGAACTGATTAGCTCCAAGAAGCTT